AAAATTGATATGTGACTCTTATTGAACTATATTTGGCTCTTACATTAGGACAGGGACTCAGCGAAAATACAAGGATAGATTAAATGTTTTCAGATTCACCTCTGAAGTTTGTTAGGTTTCTGTACTTTGCTTGGCAAGTTCTCCGTCCTGTTGCACATTTACAAATGTAACCACCTTCTTTATGAGTCATTCAGGAATTAACTCTTTCTTTTATTTATTATTTTTAAGCTTCTTCTATTAGCATTTCTGTGAGACATCATTCTGAGCTCACCACCACCAAAATTGTCAGGCAGGACTTTTAAATGTATTGCCTATGCCCATTCCCCTGCAGCTTGTTTGCAGCTAAAATTTGACAGACTTAGCTTGGGCGTAGTAGTCAATCAACTGCCCCCAAAGGACATCCTTGATGTGCATCCTCGGGCAAACACATTTCTTGTCTCTGTGCTCCACTTCCCCGTGCAGGCACTGCCTGGCGACAGCAGGGCCTCCGTTATTAATATCTTACTAGGCATGCTGTCAGCCAGCTGCAGGACTCCATCGCTGGTCAGCTTGTCACTTCAGCTTGTGCGGTGTAGGGTCCTAAGGTGCCTCTGGTGGCACTTCTTCAGCTAACAAGGCGCCCTCTGAAATGGTCCAAGTTCCACAGCCATTCGGTACAGTCGTAAGTACAAATACCTTTAGTTTGGTTGAGTGCCCAATCCCATGCTTGCTATGCAAGCTTGCTAGAAGCCAGGCCAGCTTTCTAGATGGCCTTTCTACCAGTGCTGCCACAACCGTCCCAACTGCTACCACTATGTCCGACACTGGGGCAGCCAGAGGTGTTTCCATTCCTGGATATGGAAGTGTTGATTGCTTTACTCTCTTCTAAGAGCTGCCTGGCACGTAATTTCCATTTTCATCGAATCAGTAGCTGATCCACAAGTGGCTTGAAGAGGTAACAAAGTGCCCTGCCAACAGCTGAAGATCTTGCTGCTGGTGACTGACAGAGAAGCATTCCGGTGTAGTCTGTCTGAGAACCTCAGGCCTAGCACACAGTCAGAAGAAACTGAGAAAGCTCTTGCACTTCAGAGGAGAATTTCAGATCTCACATTGTCCTGTCTGGCACAGGTGCATAAAAGAGCATGAATAAGGTAGGGTCTGAGCTAAATCCTTATTTGATACTGCTCACTATGGGGAAGATAATATATTCTGCAATGCATATACTTATGGAAATCTATGAAGATCAGACTTTCCTAGATGGCTAATATTTGCATGAGGCCCTGTGCATCATGTTACAATGGCAAAGACAAATCAGTTAAAGCTATGCAGGGACTGAGATTTTGTTCTAGGGCTTCTCCTGGATTTGTAATGCCAAGGAAATTCTATCAAGTATTCCCATTTTTCACGGGAATCTCCTCCAATCCCAGACATTTGGTTTCTACATTGTGCAACAGCAGTTAGTGGGCCAGAGCCCAAGGAACTACGCTGCTAGCTGTGACCCACAGTTTTTCTGATGCAGTTGCTTCCCCCTGAAGGTTGTAGTAAGCCAGATTGTCCCTGAGTTTGGGCTTTGCAACCTTGTTGGGATGACTGCTGTGCTTTTGCCACAGCTCAGCGCTGTCAGCACACATCAGCATGCTCTTGATTTGGTTGCCAAATTGGGCCCTTGCAGAGCTCTGGGCACCACATCACATGAGGTTCAGATTATGGTAGATCTCAGATGGGAGCAAGTGACATATGTGGTAAGGCTGGGGGACTGGTGTGTAAGCACCTGCATTTTTAGTGATATATATACCTTGTGATCTTCCAGGTATAGACAGAGGCAGAGACTGGACTTTCTAGATATGTATCTTGGAAAAGGAGATGTAGATTTCATCTAAATCCCTGCTTAAGTGGGTATAAGTAACTTGAAACTTGTTCTTGATGATTGTCAGTTCATGCCTCCAAATATGGCATAATATAGAACATTTTGTTCCAGGTTCATGCCTGTTTCTGCAGTTTTTCAGTTTAGCTGACTCTTACCCTTGGGTCACCTGGCCTTTACCGGCCGTCGTCCTCCACATCTCTTGCATCCTGCATTGCCTTGTTGCTGCCATCTTTTTCTCCAGGTGCTGCTGTTCCTGTGTCAGCATTTGTAAACTTTTGGGGATTCCCAGATCCAGAGTACACTGTGTTTGGGCTAGGCAGTGATGATTTTGATGTACTTCATTGATGTCAAATGATGGATGTAGTTGTTTCTGCTTCTATGATGGGTTATAGTAATGTCACCTGCCATAGGAGTTCTTATACATTTTATAAACTCTGCAGGTCTTACAAGGTTTACAATCTTTGTAATCAATCTAGCAGGGTTGATGAGGAAAGGCAGAGTTTATAAATAGACTCCATGCAGAGTCTGCAATTTCCGTATGTTTTTTGGTGAGGAATATGAGATCGGCTGGAGTCCACATAGGATTGATGAACCCCACAGCAATCCAGAGATACCCAATAACATCTGAGGCATTACCTGTGGTGTTTGTAAACTCTGCAGGAAATCTTGGGTAATGTCTGACTTACTGCTCAGCCAGAACAAGATGCTCTTCATTTGTACTACCTCCCCTCTTTCTGCAGAGCTCCCACGCAGGCTCAGCTGGGTGTCGTGCTGCAGTTTGGTCACCCAAACTGGTCAGGCACAAGGAAGCTGAGGGAAACCCAGCTTCTTCCTGGAGATCTTGAGGCTTTTCAAAAAGCCCGGCACAGGTATTAATTGACTCACATCTTCATTCCCTAGATGTTTTTCTTTTTAAGCACGAAGATCTTGACATTCCTGATCACTGTTAATAAAAGAGGGGAGTCCTCACTGATTCATGGATGCCTCTACCACAGTGATGGATCTCTGTCCCAGCAGGCATCTGCCAGTACGTACTCCTTGCAACAGCGTCCCAAGTCTCAGGAAAAGAGTAGCAGTGGTGCCCACAGCTTGCATCTTGCCACACCTGTGACCTTCCTCCTACACAGGACTACATCTGTGTCAGTGACCAGCAGCACAATCTTTAGCTGCTGGCAGGTGACTTTGTTGCCTCTGCAAGTCTCTTGTGGATCAGCTACAGACTGACTGGAAGAAGGCAGCTTGGGCTAGGTGATATCATTCAGGTAATGAATTCCCAGCCTTATACTAGCCCAGTGAATCTCTTCCACCTGGGCAAATACCTGTTGCTGAAGCACTTCCGTCTGCTTCAAGCTCTTCCTTTTCTGGTTTGCTAGTACTGTCCCTGAAGGCTCTCTTAGTTTCTCTGCTAGTGCCTCCACCTGCTGTGAGGTTTCTGCTTTGTTCCAGCAAGAACAGCTCTCTGAAGCAAAATCTAGTTGCTATCCTCAGGCTCAATGCAAAATTAGGAACCAAGTGCTTCAGCCAGTTCCCTCTCCAGTCCCATGGTCTTGCTATATCTCTTCACTGACTTATTATTTCACCTGGACGTTAGCAATGGCCCTCCCACCAGGAGCTGTGCTGTGCCGTACTGTGTGACGTCAGGGCATCAGCAGGATGTTTCTTACAGCACTCAGCCCTCAAAACTCATTCACACTTCAGACATCTGGCACTGAAGTGTGTGCAGAATATCTGTAGATGACAAACTCCTGTCTTCAAACTCCTGTCTTCTTGTGCTTTGTGCTCTCTTCATCAGGCAGATGTTGTATTTATTGGATTTTAGAGAGCAAGTTTCTCATACTGATCTTCACTGTCTTACACCCACATCCCCAGCCTCATGGAACCACTATCTGTGGAGTTAGTCCTGGAGAGCACTTGAACATGAGTAAATGTATATGCCCTTGAGATCTGATATTTATGTTCTTCTGAAATATTTGTGTTCCTGTGGGATGACACAAAACCCAGTGTGAAGGCAAAGAAAAAGGGATACAAAGATAGGATGTCCAGCCTTCATTTACAGAACGCTCTGTGAGTGCTGTTCTCATCCCCACCCCCTTGGCACGTGCCTGCACCTGGGTGTATGGGTGGGAGAGAAGACATTGGTCACAGCCAAGGAAAGTGCCAGGGCACCCTTCCTCCTGGGTGCTGCCTCCTGTCCAGGTAACTAGAACGTCCCCAGGCACCTTGCTGTGTTTGCCCTGGGCATCAGCAAGGTGAGCCCACCAAGGGCATGCTGCACCTCTCAGCAGCCCTGTAGGACACCTCTACTGCCTCACAGGGGGCTTCTGCCCGCCTGGGGAACTTACCTTTCTTCCAGCAAAAATTAAACATCCAATAATGCGAAGACAAAAACCTGCTTGGCCCCTGGCTTATTTCTTCCTGTTCATTTTTTCCAAATGATAGGAATCCCAAAGGAAATGCACAGTGTGGCAAAAAAATAGTTACCATTCAGAATGAAAGAATGAAATGTGTTCGTGTGCATGTGCGCACGTGTGTGTATGTGTATACAAATATATATATGTACACACACACACACATATATATATGTATATGTATACACACAGAGGTATGTGTGTGTATGTGTGGCTGTGACTGTATATGTATATCTGAGAGTTAGATAAAGCATTGAATATCACAGAGTGCCAATGCTGATTTTCTAATCAAAGGGGAATAAAAAGATTCTATCTCATTTTTAACTGAACCAGAAAACATACCAGCACATTAAAGCTAAACTGTCTTAAAGGACACTTGTGCCAAATGGTAGAAAGAAAAGGTACTTCAGTCTTACCAAAGATGTGGCTCCTGCAGTGGTGATCGGAGGGTGTATGTCATCCAGCTAAAGAACTCCAATGCAGGCTGGAGAAACATATATATTTTTTTTAAGCAAAACCATATCTTCGTATACTCTTGATGGTTAAATAATACACAGAAATCTTTGTACTTTATTTCTGTAGTGTGACATCCCACCACAGTCACCCAAATCTCTGCATGGCTTAGCAAGTTGTGAAGGGATTGCACAAGGCCCTGTCCTCAGGCCTTCCAGGGAAGCCCCACCGCGGTGTTTTCCTAGAGCTTCAGAGATGCTCTCTGCAGCTTAGTGTTGACTTTGCTTTCACAGAAGTGGCTGACAGGAAGCTAACGGTTGAAGAGGAGGAGGCCAAGAGGATTGCAGAGATGGGCAAACCCATACTTGGCGAGCATCCCAAACTAGAAGTCATCATTGAGGAGTCCTATGAGTTCAAGGTCAGTAGTTGTCCCAGGAGTCCTCCAAGAGGGAATAGTTCTGTATAACTGAAGACCAGTCATGGAGGGCAGGGCCAAGGCGGCAGAAGGTAGCAGTATATATGGTGAAAGAGCAGCTGGAAGAGTATCTGACGCAGTACAGGGTCGGGGAAGCCTACAAGAAATGACAGAGAAGTAGCTGGTGGAGGACAGAGGTGAAGGGAGAAAGGCAAGTGACTCCCCCTCTTGGAAGTAGAAGAAGCCAGCATGCAGGAGAGGACAGGAGCAAAGGTATCTCTAGTGAGGCAGGGCTGAGGGAAGGCGAGAGCCTGGTCAGGAATAAGCAGTGTCAAACAAGCTGACTGTGCCTGAGGTACAGGACAGCCTGTCCAGGGTGAAAGTGGGCCTGAATCGAGCCATGACCTCATCTGGTTGGTAGGAGAGTGTCTGTGGCACCTGCCTTTGGGAAGGGAAGAGGCCTCCACTGTGCACTTGTGAGATCAGCCTTGACTGCTACGAGCTGGTGTTTGCTACACTAGTTTAATCTTCTGCATCTTTGTTCGCATGACAGAGCACCGTGGACAAGCTGATTAAGAAGACAAACCTGGCTCTGGTTGTAGGGACACATTCCTGGAGGGACCAGTTCATGGAGGCCATTACCGTCAGCGCAGGTGAGGGGGAGATCAACAGTCCACTGACCGAAACAGCAACCCCAGAGGCATGCACAGGCTGGAATTAGGTCTGTCTGGACTCAGGAGCCGCCTGAGACAACATCTACCTGGTTGGTGAAGTTCAGCTGTTGCATGCGAGGTGGTCATCTACTAAATCAATCCAAGGAGCAAAATATGCTGCCTTTTCCAGTTAGGGAGCCCAGGAGATCCTGGCTGGATAAACCATTCCCTGAAGGTCAGTTTTCAGACATGTTATTTGTACAGGCTTTGCTCCTTCTGCGTTAGTGACCTAATGCAGACTGCAGAATCCAGTCTTTGGTCATGCTGGATGTTGGTGTGCCTGAGGTTGCCCTTTTTAAATGTCTCCTGCTGCTGGAAGTTTTCCAGTCTGGCCCTGCCTTGTGGGGAGTCCTGCTGGGACTCACGTGCTAAGCCCTGCCACACAGCAAGGCCTTACAGCGGCATCGGAAAGGCCTCAAGACCTGCAAGCTGTTGTCCAGGCAGCCTGGGAAAACTCATGGCTTCCAGAGCCAGGCAGCCTCAGAGCTGACATTTTAGGGATGTCTGTGCCGTTAGTAATACTCAGGCTCTCCAGCACCTTTGTTGATCCTTTCTAATGGTCTGGCATCTTCCAAGAAAGGCTGTTTTTCACCCAGCCATAAGTGCAGGCAGCTGAGCTGGAACTGTTGCCAGTGGCCACAAAGGCTTCTTCTGATGTGAAAGAAGACGCATGGGTATTTGGGCTTCTTCTTTCTAGCAGTAAAGTGAAACTGGCTCTGTGGAAACAGTAACTCCTTCCTTGGAGCAATATTCTTTCCCAGGCCTGTTTCTCTCTTCCTCCTTCCCTCTCCTTCGCCTGCTCTCTACGCTGTGGTTCCTATCTCTTTGTCCATTTTATTTTCTTTGTCTGGTATCCACTCTTCCAAAAGCCACATTTCCCCTCTTCTCACTGCCTGAAATGTGTCAAGAAGTGCCACTCCACTCTGCTCCTGATTTTCTAGCCTTCCCCATTCAGAAGCTTGCTCAAAGCTACTTTCTGAGTTTCTAACTGGGACCTGTGCTGCTGTTCCAAGCAAAGTCCCATCAAGGGGCTGAGCCTCAAGGGTAGCCACCCTTGCACGGAGCAAGCCTATTCACACTGGGACAAGTGGAAACAAACCCAATGAGAGCTCAGTCATCTCTCATTAGTGCTGTTTTGTGATTCAGTTTTGTTCTGAGAAGAAGACGATCTGGGGAGGAGCTGAGCGGGAAATCTCTGTGCAGAAGGGATTGGCCTCACTGCACAGCTTCAGACATCTGAATAAAACCAGTGGGACATCTAGCCGCAGGGGCTGACTTGGCCCACTAGGTTAAGGACAGAGCCCCTCCAAGTGACTGTACAGCTGTGCGTTGTACCCTCACACAGATGAGAAATTTCTTGCTGAGGCCCCGCTGGTGATCAGCCTGTGCTCTGGAGTGAAGGCCAAGAGCCTGTGTCATTCCAGTTTTCCTAATTGCAGTTATTACACTCGATTCTATAACCTTCTACTATTTCCCCCCCCACACCCCAAATGTCACCAACCTATGTGACTTTATTATGCCAATCAACAGTGCCACAGATTAATTCTATACTATATTAATTCTATAACTGCCTGTGGTGTTTTTAACCTTTATGGAAGACCTGCCTTTTGATTTCAGATATTTGCTTTTCTTCTTGTCTTCCGGGAAAGAGGAAACAGGGATGCCTGATTGGCCTTCACTGTTTTCAGGGTAGGGGTTGGGTTGCTTTGGTGATAAATATGGTCATATCCTCTGGGTACCAGTACTAGGCTAACATTAGGACAAGAGGAGACAGCTCTGTTTTCCAATCCACTTCCCAGCAGCCAGCACCATGTCAGGGCCTGGGACCTCGGGGTCTGGTTGCATGGGCCCTGCCATGCTCAGATGCACCCTGGTGGGTGGCCTTGAAGCAGGAGGGATGAGTGGCCGCGGGGTGGTGGAGGCTTGTGAGCGTGGTCCCTGTCAGGCAGCAGGTACCAGTGCTTAGGAGCTGTGGTGGTGAGCTCCCAATGCCCACATCGCTGGCATGGTGGAGGCCGCCATGCAGTGCCTGGCTCCCTGCTGAGCCCCCACAGCTGCCCCCAAGGGCTGCAGCTGCACATGGAGCCCTGCTCACGAGCTCATTGCTCAGCTGAAGCTCAGAGGCTGCTGAAAAAAGCAAGATGGTGCTGGTGTGGCTCAGCACTGGCTTTTCTGAAGGCCGCTAAGAGAGCAGCGGGGTCGGCAGCCCAGCGGTGGGGGAGCCATGCACGGGGCACAGCCTGCCCCTGTGAAAGGCGTCTTGCACCCACCAGCTCAGACATCAGCTGGCGCAACACAGCCGGGGCACAGGACAGGCATTCTCGCAGGAGCTCTGTCATGAAAGCCAGCCCTCTGTTTTCGTGTTGTTTGCAGCGGGCGATGAAGACGAGGATGAGTCTGGCGAGGAACGCCTGCCATCCTGCTTTGACTACGTGATGCACTTCCTGACTGTCTTCTGGAAGGTGCTGTTTGCCTGTGTGCCCCCCACGGAGTATTGCAATGGCTGGGCCTGCTTCGTCGTTTCCATCCTGATCATCGGCATGCTCACTGCGGTCATCGGAGACCTTGCCTCCCACTTTGGCTGCACCATCGGCCTCAAGGACTCGGTGACCGCTGTCGTGTTTGTAGCCTTCGGCACTTCCGTACCAGGTGAGGATGCCGTGGGGGAAGCCATGGGGCTAGGAGGAAAGTTGCTTTTCCCAGTTGCTTTTCTCTTCCACTTGTCTGCTCCCTGCAGTTCATGTCACCCTCTTCATTTGGGGTACAAGGCCAGAACAAAGCTTGGGTCCAGGCTCCCCCTTCCTCCCACTCTCCTGCCTTCTGGACCAGCTCTCTGAGGAAGCAGCCCTTTCACTGGGACACGGGTTAGGCTGGGAAGTGATTCCATGTTAATGGGCAAGGTCTGTGCCTGCCTCCGAGCATTCGTCTCTGCTCAGTGTCAGCAAGGGGTCCTGGCCACAGCATGGGGGAGGTGAGCCACCAAGGTGTGTGGTGCCATCGGTGAGTGCTGGGAGGGCATGTCCAGGACAGGAAGCTCAGCCAGAGATGGACCTGGAGTGAGACCTGGCCACGCAGCACTCGCCCACCAGAGAAGGCAGTGCAAAACATGGGTTGGGGCCCATTCCTCAACCTTTTCCAGTATCATGCTTTGAACCCCCCTCCCCTCCCCCAAAGTGAAAGGTTGGCCATTTTTTCCTATTGGACCCAACCCAGCCACGTGGGTGTCTCACCATGATCCGCACCAGGTGCCCTCCTCCCTGAGTTGCTGATAACCATTTCTCCCTCCCTCTCCCCGTCGCTAGACACTTTTGCCAGCAAAGCAGCAGCCATCCAGGACGTGTACGCCGACGCATCCATCGGCAACGTCACGGGCAGCAACGCGGTCAACGTCTTCCTGGGCATCGGGCTGGCGTGGTCAGTGGCGGCGATCTACTGGGCCTCGCAGGGGCAGGAGTTCCAGGTGTCGGCGGGCACCCTGGCCTTCTCCGTCACCCTCTTCACCATCTTCGCGTTCATCTGCATCAGTGTCCTGCTCTACCGCCGACGGCCGCACCTCGGAGGGGAGTTGGGCGGCCCCCGGGGCTGCAAACTGGCCACAACGTTGCTCTTTGTGAGCTTGTGGCTACTGTACATCCTCTTCGCCACCCTGGAGGCCTACTGCTACATCAAGGGGTTTTAGGCAGTGGAAGGACGGTGCCGCCAGGGGGAGGCATCCCCCTCCTCCGTTACCTCACTGGACACCAGTCCTCAAAGCGCAGTTTCACCAGAAAGGACAGCTGTCAGTCAGGTACCGCCATTGCCCAAACAGCAGGACCGCTGGGCGTGGAGAAGGGCAAAAACCATCACAGGACAAACAAACAAACAAAACCCTTCCAAAATCAAACAAAAGCCAAGAATGCAACAAAGGCAAGTATTCAAACAAAACAAGTCAAAACAAACCCATCCACTGACCCCATTCGATGAAATTCAGAAATTTCAGCCACCTTCAAAGGTCACATCTTCTGTAGGTTCTTGCTTCCTTTTTTTCCTGAAAACCCCTTCATTATAAGGATACATAATCTTTTTTTTTTTTAATACTCTTTGGGAATTGCAAAATGCAAAATCCAGTATGAGCAGGATTTTTTTTTTCTTTTGCTTATTGCTCTTTGGTTTGGGAGGGGGCATGTTATTTTATTTTTTTTTCTTTTTTATTACTCTAAGAGGAAAAATGTTAAAAATTTAAAATCAAAAGCTTCAAGCTGCCATCAGTGCTGGAATTGAACATGTGTATTTTTTTGATGCCACAAAAAACTGTGCCACAGTGAAAGAACTTCACTATTACCATTTCTTCCCCCACCTCCTTGCATTTCTTTCTTTTTTAAGAACATCACAAGACTGATATATTTTTAATACAAACATACACACACACGCACACACGCAGAGAGGACAATTCAGTGATGGAGGCTGGAGCATGTAGCATCTCAACCACCTGCCAGGGCTAAGAAAAAAGGAAGGGAAAAAAACAAAACCCAACCCTCTACTATAATATGTATCATGTATATTTTGACTATGGCATTTCTCTTTGTATAATTAACTTTGAGCTTGTGGTACTGCAGGGAGAGAAAAATCATGTTAATTTACAGAAGATAAAGAAATAAACAGATACCCAGAAATAGCCTGCCATGTGGGGAAGAAAAGGGGCCCCAGGAAAGTAGCACATGTTCCTTGTAATCACAGTGTGGCTGCATTTGATCAGCTGCCGAGGGCAGTGGAGCAGTCCCTGGTCTTGAAAGTGAAAATGAAGTCATGTAAATAACATGTTGGGCTCATGTACTGGTGCAAGCAAGACACCTCAAGGCATAAGATGTCTGAGAGTTTTTCTAAGCATTATGTTACCAAGTTGAATTCATTCTTAAAACACACGAGTTTGCAAAAGGGAAAGGATCCCGTGGAGGATGGCACGCAGCCGGTTACTGTAACCCACTGGCGTTTGCTGTGCTGAACAAAGATGGCCCTCAGCTCCTTAGAAAACAGCAGCAAAACAAAAGCCAAATGAATGACAACAGTAGGAAACGCCAAAGAGCGTGACCACGTTTTCCTAGCACGCCCTGCCCTGCACTGGGCCATGCCTTCTGTTTCACCCGTTTGCTACCCTAATTTTCACAGAGCCTTAAAAACTGCCACTTGTTTCAGGACTCCTGCATCACCTGAAGTATGTTTTGGGGAGGGGGGGAACAGATGAATAAAAAGGCACCCTTTTCATTTTAAGGAAAAAGAGAGAGTCTGTTATGATATTGCATCAGCAGCTGCAAATTGAAATGTTGGGTTGGAAATAAAAATAAATAAAAACTATACCTATATCTATATAAACAGTGCTATCTATAGACATATTTCTTAAGTGAGAGAGCTAGAAGAGGGTGTTAAAACCTAATTCTTTTAAAAATGTTTTCAAGATAAAGATACTTTGTTCTATCAAGAGGCTTAGGTGCTGTAAAGGGAAACATGCTCTTCATAAATTTCACCATAATAAACCAAACCTAGGGAGTAAGCAAGTAAAAAAGGGAATGGCAAACGGTACTTCTCTGCCTACATGGTGCTTTCTGTTGCCCTTAGGGGCAGGGAGAAAGTGTCTGTAGGGTTCAAAAACAAAAAAAAAAAAGCAGTGGGAACAAGGTTGTCATGGACAAAAAAAAGATGCAATGTTACAGCAGGTGAATGGAAGAGAGTGACAATGAACCTGAAAAAAAACCCAGATGAAATATTTATTTTCATACAAAAAAGTTTATCAACTATATATATAAAAAAAGTATGTGTGTGTATATACATGTATATGTATATGTGTGTGTGTGTGTGTGTGTGTGTGTGTACATATATATGTGTATGTGTACATACACACATTATATATATGTGTGTGTGTGTGTATATATATACATATATATATATATAAATGTGAGCTGGAGAGGAAGGCTCCTTCCCATAGGAGCAGTGGGAGCTTTGGCCATTGAAGCTAGCAAGGGGTGAAGGAAGCGCGTTTGAAGCCAATAAGCATGCAGCCTTCTGCCACCTTAGCCTCCCTTCACCAGAGCTTTTGTGGAAGGGCATGAAAAAAATGCAAAAGAAATCTTGAGGCCAGATGTCTGCTGAGTTTCCGATCTTTCAGGCATCCAGCCATGCTGAGAACTACCAGGATCAGCTTTTGCCAAATTCATTCACTGCTACTGCTGCTGTCCAGGCTGGACCCCAGAGCACAGATGTGTGACACCAAAAAAAAAAAAAAAGCCCCTAAATGGTCTCTGTGGGGGTTTAAAGTGTAGCTGTCAAGGGATTTTTTTTTTTTTGTAATCAGTCATTGTTGTTTTTAATTTGGACATATACATTCTGTTGGATTATTATTTTAACCATACCAGTTTACCCATTCCTGGCTAAAATTCCTAGGCATGGGGAGCTGAAATGCTGTTATTCTGTTGCTTGTGCTATATCAGTCACATGCTTTTCATCTGCTTTCTTAGGCTCACTTTGCTGGGGGTGGGGGAGAGTGCAGGGGAAGGGAGGAGCATCTGCATTTGTCAACTGCACAGTGACTTTGCTGCCCTCACATGCACTGAGGAGATCTGCACCAGGCCAACAACATCAGTGGATTGTTTCTTTATTTCCATTTTTTTACATCATTAAACAATATACAAACTAAAAAAAAAAAAATTGGTGCCTTTGGGATTTTTTTTTCCTGAGGCTTTTTTTTTGGTTTTTGGCTTACATGTGTGTTTGCCTGCTTTTTTGTCTAGGAAGGTGCATGCAAGTGTTTACATTAGCTGTGGTTGCTTTCTTCCCCTCCGGCCCAGCCACCTCAGTTCAGTTTGCTGGAAGAGGCCAACAGCAGTTGCATCCTGGCTGTTTTGCATACAGGAGCTTTTGCTGCTTCCTTACTTAGAGTGCTCTGTTCTCATTGTCATTGTTCCTTACTCTTTGTTTTTCCTGTCAGCTTCATGTCGCAGTCTGTAATAAAAGCAGCTTTCCTCTTTCTGTAGCCTTCTTACTTTTCAAGGCACACGTCTCGTCTTTCCATTTCCATTCACACAGGCTTCCTTTTTCCTCCTTCCCAATTCCTCATTGGGACGCCTTTGCTACTGTAGCTGGCTGAGGCTAAATAGCATAGCTTCACATCTGGAGGGAGACTATAGAGGTGACCAAAGGTGCTACTGTATTCCTGGTCATCAGCAGGGCCTACGGGCAAGCCAGACGTGGCTCTCGGTGGGGAGCACCACGGCTGCCTGGGGGCTTGTGCCAACGTTGCAGCTGCTGGGGCCCCCGCACTGCCATGTGGCTCCCTGCTACTGAGCGCACACCCAACCCCAGGCTGGGTTTTTACTGGGGAACCATTTACCTCAGCTTTGGAGATGGGGGTGAGATGGCAATGCACAGCCGTTGTTTTCGTAGCACATGGCTCAGCATGCTTTGCATAACACCTGCAGAGACAGCCCACGTGTGATGGGCAGGTCAGAGCAGGGCCTTGGTGTTGGTGGTGCAAGGCGCCCAGGACCCCACCCTCAGCCCGCCATGAGAAAATTTGGAGTCACTCATCTATTTCAGTCAAAATCAGCCTTCAGGCCAAAAAGCAGTTGTATAAAGAGATGTCACCCTTTCCTGAACTCCTCAACGTGGAAAGGAGTTGTATCCTAGGTACAGCCAATGCTGTACCGCCTCTTTTCCCAGTGCCCAGTCACCCAGCAGTCATCACTGTCTGCTTTTCTGCACTTGTATTTGGGCCCATGACCCCAAAAGCAGCGTACAAAGGCCATAGGACACTGAAGTGGCCCTTACAGTGAACAGCAAGTCAGAAGCAGCCTCAGAAGTGGCTTTCAGCAGCAAGCAGCTGTTGGCGCAGTGTGCTGCTCTGGTGGGAGCAGACCCTTCTCCAGAGACGGCCCCTTTACTGGCGCACAAGGGGATTACTACAAGGTGGTGGAGCAGCAGGCAGTCAAGGGTCAAGGCTAAGTCATGTTGCCAATGCAGCGTGCTCAGGCAAGGAGGGAAGAAAGATGGGTTGGGAACCGTGCTGTGGGAAATGCAGCCCCCCAGTGGAGCTGGCTGTGGGGAGGCTGGCTTCTGCATCTAGCTCTTTCACAGTGGCCAGAGATCTGACAAACCTCACTATGGTCCCAAAAGGGCCGTTCTTCTCCCTGCTACTTACTCTCCCTCTGTCTCTCTTCCACTCTCCAAGATATCCACTTCAATGCTATACGCCTTCGTCCCCCCCCATATTCACCCAAAGCACTTCAGACGACAGACATTGTAGAGATGCCAGACACCATTACCAACTCGTTAGCTTTTATGACCAGAGGGAGTTGCATTTCAGGGGGTGAGGACAGTAAGCAACATCCTCACAGCCTCTCACAGCCTGGGAGCATCTGTGATGAGATGGCCATTGCCTTGTTGAATCCAGTGGGGTTTTAATCTCTGCAATGCCAGTTGGAGGGGATAGGTTTCATGCTCTTTCTGTTCTCCTTTTTATTGCTTCTGGGATAACTACTACCACTTAAAGTGCTTTGCAAAGGAAGCCCTTCAGGGCTGTTATCTAGAAACCATCTTAGGCTAAGGGGTGCAACACAGATTAAAAAAAAAAAAAAACCCTCTGTTATTTCCCATATGTTGCCCTGTTGGCTGTTTCATGCTCTCCAAGAGCCATCAGCCATGGTGGTGAGCATGCCCACTTCTGCTGGTGGAGGTTATGCACACTGACCGCTAGACTCATTATCAGCTCTTGGGAAACTGAGGTAATGCCAAGCAGACTCTGACTCCAAGGACAGAAATTGAACCACTGCCTTTGACTTCAGTGAGTGGGCTGGGGAGGGATTCAAGCTGTTTTTGTAAGTGTTTGGGAGTGCTGTGGTGCCTTTTAAGCCTGGCTTGTTACCACCACTGCCCCAGCACCTGCCAGAGAACATCCCAGTCACCACAGGTGTGGAGGCTCAGGTGCAGAGCCAAAGGGCACCATCCCAGAGGGAGCTGGAATCAGGTGTTATACACAGTTAAAAATGAAAAATTCATTAGAGCTATTGAACAAAGGTTTTAAGCCAGGGATGAGAGCAATTAGAGCTCTAGGCTTGGAATTTGTTACCTTTTGGTAATTATTGTTCTGTTGCTGTGATCATGGCTCTTCTGGCATGAGCACAAAATAAAAACAAAAATGTTCCCACTATGTGATTCACATTTCCTCAGATTCCACAGCTATAGCTATCGGATTGATCCGTAAATCACTTGTCTCTGGTATCAAAGGACCCCCTGTGCCACCATCCCAGAGCAGCAGTGCCATCTCACTTCACAGCACCATGTGAAAAGAGATGCTCCTTCATCAGCTGCATGTTCTGCTTCACCCATCCTGTCTCCTGACCATGGCGGGCTGATGCCTACCCCATGCGTTCAACAGCTGAGTATCTCTCTTTGGAAAGGCATTTTGGAGGGCACCTAGTACTGTAGTACCTGGAAGCTGGTGAGATAAAGTGTAGGTAGCAAGACTTTCGAGTAATGACCATCATCCAGGCCTTAAAAGTGTGATAGGACAGATGGCAAAGGAAAAGCCACCAGTGGGAGATGTGGTCATGTTTGAATGTGCCATCAGTCAAAGCTGAGATGGCTCAACCTATGCTCTGTCACATGTCGAGTCCATGTTGTTAGATGGAGGCAGGGTATTCCTAGTGCTGTTCACCTGCAACGGCTTTCCTCTGGGGAAAAAACTACTGAAAGCTTTTCTGGGTTAATGCTACCAGGGAAGAGTTGCAGCCCAACTTTGATGTAACAGTCAGCCAGCATGAATGGGAGCAGCAGGTGCTCAGCCCTGACCCACCCTGGCCATCAGCCCTTGTCACCAAGAATCACAGAATCACAGAATGGTTGAGGTTGGAAAGGACCTCTAGAGATCACCTAGTCCAACCTCCCAGCTCAAG